CTTTTCCAAATGAAGATCTTTTATGTAAGCAGAGGGTTGATCACATACGACATGCTTACGGCCAGACTTTCCGGGAGCCTGTGATTCTGTGCTTTTCTCTCCTTTCTCTCTCGGGAGCCAACTTCCAGCCTCACGTCCCAACATTCCCTACTCCCTTTCCTGACCCTGAGGTGGGCGAACCCTGTCCACTGTCTCTCCTCCCAAGGACAGGGACTTGGGGCTCCGAGGCCAAGAGCGTCTGGGAGATGGAGGAGGAGGGTTCGCTCTCTTGTCTTTCCCAATATGGTGGCAGCAGGTGGGGTTGAGCCCAGTTGGAAGAGCAGATCTGCTGGGTCCTAAGTGTCCCCCGGTGGTGCCCGTGTGTCCCCTCACGCCAGGGAGAAGGGCCGCAAGGAGAGAGAGACGCTGCAGCAGATGGCAGAGGTCACCCGCGAGGGCTTCCGCCTGAAGAAGATCCTCATCGAGGACTGGAAGAAGGCCCGGGAGGAGAAGCAGGTGAGGGGCCCCGGGCTGACCAGAGGCGGGGGCATGGTGTCCGGGGCCAGTTCCTGTCTGCGCCTTCCGTTTCTCATTTGTCCGCTTGGCGTGAAGCTGTTGGTAGGTCGTTACCAGGTCCACAGAGGTGAGCACAGGCGTGGAGCGTCAGGTGGCAGCCGGGAGGGGGCTGGCGGAGTTCGCTGCCGACAGAACAGGAGGGTGCCTCTGCACCCGGGTCAGTGGGTCTGTCGTCTGTAAGATGGGGCTGATGACTGTGACTGGGGAGGACTCAAGACTGTGTCAATCAGCCACAGCTGGGCTGGTTCAGTAGGGTGTGTGCTTTGGGGGCCGGAGGAGGGTGTACCCCCAAGTGTGTGTCTCCCTCCCCTGTCTTCCATTCCCTTGGCTGTTTGATGGGTCAGAGGTCTCAGCACTGCTTCTGGGCTCCTGTTCGGCCCACTGAGCAAGGGTTCCAGCCCAGGGAAGGTTCCAGGTCTTTCCCCCCCATCCCCAGGGCCTGGCTACGGAGGACCCTGGGGCCGTGGGCTCCGTCCTAAGCTCGGGGGGTAGTGGGGGAACTCTGTGGTGAGGGTGTCTCCAAGCGACCTTTGCCCTCGTGGCGAGTTGGGAGGATCACAGCAGCAGTCCACGCTGAGGTGTCCGCCGAGGTCTCGGGAGATAGTGATGCTGTGGGTGCTCGGGCTAAGACCCTGCAGCCTGGGACCCAGTTCCTAGGCTGGAGCCCGTCCCGCACACTCAGTCCTTGTTTAATATCCACAGAGGCCCAGGATGTGCTGGGCACTGGGCATGAGGCTGGAAGCTCACCAGGAACTGCCTCAAGGGTGCATTGTCCGGTGGGAGGGACAGACGGACAGAACATGGTGCCCAGGGTTGCTGGGCAAAAAGAAGACACTCTTGCCTGGTCCCTGGCAGGAAGCAGGGAGACTTCCTGGGGGATGAGGTCTCCAAGCTGAAATCTGTAGGGGGTTCAGGGCAGCCAGGTAGCGTGCTCCAGATGGAAGGGACGCACGTGTGAAGAACGAGGCAGAGAGCATTTGCGGTCTGAATGTTGGTTGTTAAGACAGTTGGAGCCTAGAGTTTAAAATTGCCCAGCTGGTGTGGCTCAGTGGTTGAGCGTTGACCTATGAACCGGGAGGTCATGGTTCAGTTCCCGGTCAGGGAATGTGCCCGGGTTGCCAGCTCAATCCCCAGTGAGGGACGTGTAGGAGGCAGCCAATTGATGATTCTCTCTCATAATTGATACTTCTCTCTCCCTTCCTCTCTGGAATCAATAAGAAATATGTATATTTAGAATAGCAATAGGGGCCTGGCCACTGTTCCCACTGGTCAGAGCGTTGGCTCATGCAACGAAGTGTTATGGGTCCGATTCCTGGGTTGTGGGTTTGATTCCCAGCTGCAGTCAGGACACGTGCGGGAGGCAACCAGTTGCAGTGTCTCTCTTACTTCGACGTTTTTCTCTCCTTCCCTCCCTTCCACTGGCTCTAAAAATCAATGGGAAAAATATCCTTGGGTGAGGATTAACGAAAAAATAAAATTACAAAAAGGCAGCATTGGGGCAGGTGGAGCTGGAGAGGCAGCCGGGGCCTGGTCACACGGGGCCTGGAAGCTACATTACGGTGAGTGGGCTGCGGGGAACCCCAGCAGGCGGGCAGCCAGGAGGTGTGAGTTTTGGAAAGATCGTGCGGCTGCCCCTGGAGTAGAGGCGGGAGGTAGCAGTCTGTGAGGAAGAAGGGAGAACAGAAGGAAGAGCTGCCCCTTGCCTTCTCCCCGTCCAGCAACAGCTCACTGAGCTGCAGACCAGAAAGAAGTCCCTGGAGGACCAGGTGGAGGTGCTGCGGACGGCGAAGGAGGAGGCCGAGAAGCCAGAGAAGGAGGCCAAAGAGCAGCAC